CACACACACACACACACACACACACACACACACACACACACACACACCTTTAGTTTGGAAGGCCTTGGTGTGAAGGTTAAGATTGTAGGTGAGTTGAAATCCCTCCTTGGCCACTGGCCAACTACTGTGTGGCTAAAGCACACACTGAGTCTAGTGAACTACATACGTACAGTGATGTCATCTCACAGGGATGGTGGAGGGGCGCAGGGATTCACTGCGATTAGCCCGGAACTCAGGCAACAGGAAGGAAAGCTGCTGTTGGAGTGACTGAAATTATTCTCCACCTCAACATCAGGAGCAGGAGCCCAGACAACCTGCTTTTCATGGTCAATAGCACAGGGATCTCACCACCTCTCTCTGTCTCAGTCAGCACCTCGTGGTGCTAGGCATTGCCAGCCTCGTGCATGCCAGAGAGGCACCCTACCCCTGAGCACAGCCCAGGCCCCTTGCATTATGAGACAAGACCTTTCTAAATTACCCAAGTTGGCCTTGAACTTAAGACCTTTCTGTCATAGCCTGTGTCGGGAGCTTAGGGGCCAGCAATCCCAGTACCCAGGAGCTAAGACAGGAGAATCACCACAAATTCAAAGCCAGCCTGGACCACATAGTGAGTTCTAGACCAGCCAGGGCTATGGGGAAAAAAAAAGAAAGTTCTGCTTTAAAAGATTAAAAACAAAGTCCACAGCTCACTTGTTAAAGTGCTTGTCAGAGGGTATAAGGACTTGGGCTGCCCCAGAACACACATAAATGAACAAGGAGAACCAGCAGCTGAGGCTCACTGCCCAGTCAGTCTAGACCAACTGGTGAGCCTCGGGTTCAGAGAGAGACTCAACAAACAAAGAAGCAAAGAACCACAAAGCAGGTAGCTGACACCTGAGGAACAGCCCTCAAGGCTGACCTCTGACCTCTAACCTTCACACACATGCATGTGTACCTGCCACACAAACCCACAAGTCAAAGAGTAAACAAACAAACAAACAAACCCCAAAAAACTGCAGTGCAGAGAGAAAAACTATCCAAATTTATGCTTCCCAAACCTGTAACAGGACCTGTCCAGACAAAATCGGAAAGTGGGGTGCAGAGTAAGGGAAAATGGCAAACAGAAGGAATTATAACAGGAAAAAAACATGTTGATATGACATACAAACAAAAAATCTATTTTATAAGCTGAATTAAACTAGCAAATCTCGTTGGCAACAAGGAAAGATACTCTAACAACTATTTTCCAAAGGAGCTAAATCAAACCAACCCCCGGATGTCTGTAAACAGCGGCCACAGAAGAAAATTAGGAAAAAGAATAGAAAAGGAGATGAGGAGAAACGGGAGGAGAAACGGGAGGGGGGGGAGTGTGTGGGTTGGGGGGACTGAGGAGAGCAAAGAGAAGAAAGCAACTCTTTCCGAGCAAAGCTGTTTCGCCCTGAGCACCAAACCTCCCTGTGTAAACCATCAGGTCCATCGTCCACAAAGAGCAGATGCCAAGTCCTGAGCACAAACTGAGGCGAGGGAACAAACTCCAGAGCTGTGCTAGGCGGAAATGTGCACAGCCATGCACCCAAGCTGCTAATCCCTTCCCATTAGGGAAAGAATGCCGAGTCCGGAGAGGGCGAGGCCTGCCCAGTCTGTGCGCCTCAGCACCTAGCCCAGGGCTGCGAACAAGATGCAAATCACGCCAGACGCCCGAGAACCAACGCACCCAAACAAGAGAGGAGCCGCACTCCAACTCCAGCGCATCTCCACAGGGGACGCGGACCGCTCTACAATACACCCCACTCCTGTGTGGCTGTCTGTAACCTCGGCGAGGAGGCGGCCAGGGGTGGAAGATGGGAGAGGCGGGAAGGTCCCCAGAGCTCCGGGTCCAGGGAGAGGCCCCATCAAAACAGGGTGGACAGGGATGGAAGAAGACATTCAGCCACTGACCTCCGGACCTCACACCCGCGCCCGGGCGCACATACACGCACGTGCACACACAGGCCAAGCAAATCTCCATCTAATTACTCACGGTAAATACTTATCAAAATATATTTTGTTATTTATATTGAGGACGTGCCCTGTACAGAGGTCAGAGGACGATTTTCGGGACCCCCTGCTCCCGCCACCCGTGGGGCAGGCTGTCAGAGTTGGCAAGGAGTGCCTTTACCCACTGGGCTATCTCACGGGCCCTCTAGATGGGCAGCTCTTAAGTGCGGGCACGTCTCTGTTACCTAACCCTTAAATATCCTGTTTCCAGGGTGTGTCACGACCCAGGGGGAGCCCACTTCTCTTCGGGATGGAGGTCTCTCCAGAACTCACACCTGAGCCTTGCCCATGCGAGCCAGCACGCAGGCCAAGTCAATTAAGGCGTTAAACAAGAAGTTGATGGAGGCCAGGTGGTATGGCCGCAACCTTTCAAGTTTATTGAGCAAAGCTAACGGCTGCTGTAAGGCGTTTACAACGTACTAATGACAGATTCATTAAATCCCTCACTGAGCGCAGCACTCAGGAGAAAAAAAGTCCAGTTCAATGTCCCCTATTTTTATAAATAACAAAAGGGGTGGGGGGTGAGGCCGTCTCTCCGAAGCCACCCACATGAAGTCCCCTGGTGCTGGGAGCCCCGTCAGGACGCTGAACTCGAAGCCAAAGCACGGTACGATATTGACATCATTGCATGAAAGCAGCCTTGAAGTCCGCAGACTGAAGAGTGTGTGGCTGTGGGTAGCTATGTAACCACACCCTCTGGTGGCTTCCCGGGCACGCTAGGGCCGAACAGCGTCACGGCGTCGGGGTGGTCCACCGAGTGGAGGTCCCGGGTGTGTGACCCAGACGCGGAGCATCAAGACAGCACAGCGTCCCCCCACCCCCGGCATCCCAGACCTGGGGACCCGGGGTTTCCTCCTTCTCCAGGACCAACCGCATCAGCCTTGCCATGCCCTGCCATGCCCTGCCATGCCCGGCCTCACCCTGCCCTGCCCTGCCCTGCCCTGCCCAGCCCGGTCCAGCCCCGTTCAGCAGGCCGAGGCTCTTCTCTGCACCCTCCTCCTCTACGCGTCCAGCATCTCCGCCGCCCCGCGAGCGCGGGCCCCAGACTCACCATGGCCGCGAGCGCGCCCACAGCCGGGAGTCACACGGCGCCGGCGACGCCCGTTGTCCTGGTGACGCCAGCCCGGCGTCCCGCCCCGGCCTCAAGGTGGGCTCCGAGGTAGCCATTGGCCCGCGTCTGCCACGTGACCCGTAGGCGCGCCCTTCGGCCCTCCCACTCCTCCTGCCCCACGCAGCTCTGAGGCGGGGCCTGGCTGCCTCGGGGGCTGCACACCTGGTCCTCTCCCATCACCGCAACATCACCTTGACGCCCTGACAACAGATGGGCGGCCCAGCCATGCACTGGCCAGAGCAAGACACCTTTGTGGATTCTCGCTGTTAAAGAAACAAAATCAAACGAACAACGACAAAACCCCAAATTGTTGGAGCTGGGGGCGTGACTCCGTTGGTAGACCCCTTGCCTAGCGTGCATGAAGACCTGGGATCCATCCCCAGCGCCACACAAACCCAGCACCTGGGAGCTGGGGGCTGGAGGACCAGAAATCCAAGGTCATCCTCAGCTACTTAGCGAGTTCAAGGTCAGTCTGGGATACGCGAGAACTTGTCTCGGGAACAAAACAAAACAAAGCCAGTTACCTAAGATGGAACTTACCTATTGAGGCATTTTAAATGTCCAGTGAATAAGATCAAAGTAAGTACCAGCACTTGAAACTGTCACAGCTGCTATTCTAGTCTATTTGCTTGCATGTTTCGCATCAAATATCGAAGCATGCATCTATTCTATAAGCTACTTTTTTCAATTAAAAATGACTATCCTTAAACTGATGTGCCAAGGCTGAGTTGGAGTACACTTGGGAGACTGAGGCAGGAGAGTCCCTGAGTCAGGAGTTCAAAGCAAGAGTGACTAATATATACCCCACCTCCATCTCCAACACATAAACACACGTGTGTGTAATCTTTGTAGCTAAATAAGCATAGCTCCTAATTTAGTAAAGCAGGCAGCAAGCTGTTGGATGCTTTTAGTGGGACTGAATAAAGTTTAGATCTCCTCAGAGCCAGCCCATCAGTCTGGTGGAGAGGAAACATTTGATCTGGTAATGAGGCTTTCGGTTGGTGGAGCACTGCCTGGCAGGCAGGAAACCTGGTTTTGATCCACAGTGCTGCAGAAACCTTGGAGGGTGCTTTTGCATGCTAGGCTGAAGAGTCAGAGGTTCAAGGTCATCCTCGATGGGACATAGGAGGTCTGAAGCCACCCTGGGCTCCATTGGACCCTGTCTCAAAACTAACTGAATACATAACTAGAAATAAAAATCAACTGTCAACCTGACGTGTCCCCTGGAATGCCCGAGAGGCACCAGTGACTTTACATTCCCAAGGTTCTCGCTCCCCAACATTTCCAACCCCCACAAACATTCCTGCTGTCCCCTGGGTGCTCGGAACAAATTGTGTTTTTTTCTTTCCATCGACCTCACTTTCCATCTCGTAGCAGACATTCTCAAGCCTACTTTAAAAAACGTGAGGGCGTGGTGACTCACGACCTTACACCCAGCACTCAGGAGATGGAGACAGGAGGAGCTCTGTGAGTTCAAGCCCAGCCTGGTCTACAGAGTGAGTTCCAGAACAGCCAGGGCTACACACAGAAACCCTGCCTCGAAAAACGAAGCAAAAACATGTCCTCCGGGGCTTCGGAAATGCCTCGGGCACGAGAACACGAGCTTGACCCCAGAATGGGTGTTCAAGAGAGAGGAAAGTCAGTCGTGGCGGCCTGTGACTGTAAGCCTGGCACTGGTGATCCCTGAAGCCCGCTGGCTGCTTGGCAAGACACAGTGAGAGACCCTGTCTCAAAATCAAGGTGACTCGCTCCTAAGAAGCACCCAAGGCTGTCCTCTTGCTTTCACATGCATCTCCATACACACGTGCAGTATACACACGTGTAAACATGCCACACACATGCTCACTACAGACAGAACTGTATGAAGGTATGTGTCTTGAAATCTATTCTCAACTTATTTTCTCACCCCCACCACCATCTCCTGCCTAAATTTGTCTCTTCGTGGTATACTTTGAATGTCTGTGTCCAGAGCTGAAATCTTAGTCTACCTGTATGTGTGGATGGTGCCCTACAGGGGCTCCTTGGCAAGGGGAAATAGTTAATACAGACACTCACGAGCTAGTCCCAGAGCTGAGAACAAGCGACTTCTGCTCGGTCCTCAACAGGACATCCAAGGACCAGGAGACACTGAGGCAGGAAGAGCAGAGAGATTGCAGGAACCAGAGGATGAGGAGGGCTGTGAAACGCTGTCTTGGGATACGGCGTTGTCACATGGACACACAGCAGCTGTGGCTCTGCACAAGGCCTGATACACGCAAGGGACATGAAAGCAGGAGGGGGGCCAGCTGGGAGAAAGAAATAGGTAAGAGGGAGTAATGTGGGGTTAGCATGACCACAGTACAGCATGGGTGTGTGTGTGTGTGTGTGTGTGTGTGTGTGTGTGTGTGTGTGTGTGGTGTGTGTGTGTGTGTGTGTGTGTGTGTGAAATTGTCAGTGAAATAAATTTTTTTTTAACTGAAATAAAAAGTTAATGGGCCATGACCTAGCGTCTGACATTAGTGCTTTATAAAAGGGCCTGGGAGACTAGGTCCAGCGTCCTGTGCCCTCTGCCACATGAGGACACCATGTCTGTCCGTTTGGGAGGACAAAGCCACAGGATGCCATCTTGGGAGAGGAGAGCAGCCCTCACTGGACACTGAACCTCCCTGGCCTTCAGTCTGGAACCTCCCAGCCTCCCTAACCATAAACACAGGTTTCCATTATTACAAGTGACCCGGTCTGCGGTGTTTTGTCGTAGCAGCATGAACAGACACACTGTGCCGCCGGGCTCCTCTCCAGTGGAGTCACACAATGGTGGGTGGCAGTAGGTTCTCTTGCATTTAGGACAAAAAATAATGTATGCAAACTTTTCCAATGGTCTACACTCAGTTCCTCACCTCTTGCTGTGATGAAATACCCCGGTTAAGGAACTTCAGGAAGCAAGGGTTTATTCTGGCTCACAGTTTGAGGTTACCGTTCATTAGGACAGGGAAGGCATGGCAGCAGGAGCGTGGGGGAGTGGGGGGGAGTCACGGTGTCACTTTGCATCCGCAGTCAGGGAACAGTAGGGGCGGCTGGTGCTCAGCTTGCTTTTTATTCAGTCGGGCACCCCAGCTGGCCCTCCAGGAAAGGATCCTCACCTGACTGAGCCACAAATGTCTGTAGATGCGGGATGGATAAATGCCCCAGAAAGGCTTGGCACCTGCCTCCATTTGGCATCAACTCCTCTATTGTGTGTCGCCCTCTTACCGTCATCTTGGATTGCAGGAGCAGCAATGAGAGATGACCATCTTCTAAGGGGTGGAGACTACCCCGGAGGCCCTGCCTGATCCTGAAACAATGGCCTGCTGATCCCAGGTTTAAACGGTCTTTAATAATATGTGGCTTCGCCTCCTCAACCGTAGAATCTTGAGCAAGATCTTTGCAGCCTGCTGAGGACAGTGCTGAAGCAGTCACCATTACCTTTTCTGTTTGCTTTGCAGAGGTGAGTGTCTGGACCTGATTTTTGGGGACCTCCCAGAGCCAGGCCTCTGGCCCAGGACTCCAGTGACACCCCATACATTAGCTCACATTATTTCCCACAGACCCTTAGACCTGCTAAACTCCGGTGGCCAGCCTCTGCTTCCTTCCCTGCCTTTTACAGGGTCTGGCTGTGTAGCCCAGGCTGGCTTTGAACTCTTCAGGGTAATCCTTCCACCTCAGCTTCCCCCTATGCCCAGCTCACTAATAAGATGCATGCTATGGCTTAACGTTTACAGCTGAAGCCTTGATGGTCGCGCTGTGTGCAGCCGCTGTGGATGTTCTTCCCGGCCTTTCCTGATCCGAGATATTTTTGTGTACTTAAAAAAAAAAAAAAAGTGGACCTCAGTCAAATGCATATTACTTACCAAAGCTGCCATATTTGTGAGACCAGGCCACTCACTCAGCTATTCCAATTTTATAAACTTACTATTACTGATGTGTGAAAAGGGTGTTTCAAATTGACTAAAGATGGTCAATTTCTTTCATGTTCTTTATCAGTTTTTGTGGTTTATTAAAGTTATTATGTGCCCTTCATGTCTGCTGGGAGGTATTCTCTTGGAGGTTTGAGGCCATGGAGAATATCAGAATGTAGTATTTCTTTTTAACATTTACCTATTTGTTGGGGGTATATAGCGCCACAGTGCACATCTGGGGCCAGAGAACAATTTGTGGGAGTCAGTTCTCTCCCTGCCCCTTGCTGAGGTAGGCTCTCTCTTGTTCTTGCTGCTGCTCTGTATATCTCAGGCTTACTTGCTGTCTTGAAATTTCTACCGCTGTGAAGAGACACCTTGACCACGTCAACTCTTATAAGAGAAAACATTTAATTGGGGCTGGCTTCCAGGTTCCATCATCATTCCAGCAGGGAGCATGGCAGCATGCAGGCAGACACGGTGCTGGAGAAGGAGCTGAGAGTTCTACCTCTGGATCAGGAGGCAGCAGGAAGAGAGCCACTGGGACTGACTTGAGCTTTTGGAACCTCAAAGCCCACCCCGAGTAACACTTCCTCCAACACGGCCACACCCCCAACCCTTCTCAAGTAATGCCACTCCCTGATGACTAAGCATCCAAATATATGAGACTGTGGGGGCCATTCTTATTCAAACCATCACACCAATATCCACACCTCCAAATCTGTCTTTGTGTGGCTTCCAGGGACCATGCTCACGTTACCCGACTTGAACAGCAAGTGCAGAGCCTGGTGAAATTATTTTTAATCAATCTTGTTTCTTTTTCAGAGTATACACAGGATCAAGGCTTTTAGCGACTGGTGGGCTGGGCAGAGGTTAGAGACTTCCCCGAACATTTTGGTAGTGTTGTTTTTGGGTTATATTGGTGATAGGTTTTGGTTTTTCAAGTCAGGATCCTGCTACTTACCACAGGCTGGCTTAGAATTCGTGATGGGTCGGCCTCAGCTGATATTATAGGCATGCTTTAGCATGCCTGCTCCAAACTATACATTAGTTAAGTGTCAGATTTCTCTTTAAAATTACTTTATTTT